TGTGCCGCCAGCGGTACCGAGAGCCGGGACTCGGTTATTGCCGCCGCCTTCCCCAGCCCTGTCCCGGTGCGTGAGGCAGGGAGCTGCGGCCGGGGGTAGAAATCGACGACACGGGACGCGCGCCAGTGCACTCGTGCCTGCAAGTTCTTAAGAGTGTGTGTCTCTCTTCTAGGCAAAATGATTTCCGAAAGCAGCTCCTTCATGAAGGGCGTGGTGCTAGGAGGAGTATTCTGCATGTTGGTAACCCTCCTCGGACACATTAAGGTGGGCCACGGGACTAAAGCACATCACCACGAGCATCACCACATCCAGGCTCCCAACAAGGAAGACGTCCTAAACCTTTCAGAAGATGAACGTGTGGAGCTCAGTAAAAGTATCCGCGTTTATTGTATCATCCTTGTCAAACCCAAGGATCTGGGGCATTGGGCTGCGGCCAAAGAGACGTGGAGCAAGCACTGTGACAAGGCAGACTTCTACAGCTCTGAGAACGTCAAAGTGTTTGATTCTGTGCCCCTCAACACAAATGACATGTGGGTGATGATGAGGAAAGCTTACAAGTTAACCTATGAACGCTACAAGGATGAATTCAGCTGGTTCTTCCTTGCCTATCCAACAACATTTGCTATTATTGAAAATCTCAAGTATTTCTTACTGAAAAAAGACTCCTCACAGCCTTTTTACATAGGCCACACTATGAAATCTGGTGACCTTGAATATGTAGATGGCCAGGGAGGAATCGTCTTGAGCATCGAGTCACTAAGGCGACTCTCCCAAGTTCTTGGGGACCCTGACAAGTGTCCGGAGCGGGGAGGTATGATCTGGAAGCTTGCAGAGGATAAACAGCTGGCAATCTGCCTGAAGTACACCGGAGTGTTTGCCGAGAACGCGGAGGATTCTGAGGGGAAAGACGTGTTTAACACCAAATCCGTGGGTGCCCTGATCAAGGAGGCCATGTCCACCCACCCGCAGCAGGTGGTGGATGGCTGCTGCTCCGACATGGCCATCACCTTCAGCGGGCTGAGCCCCAACCACATGCACGTGATGATGTATGGTGTGTACAGGCTGAGACCCTACGGCCACACGTACACTGATGCACTTGTCTTCCTGCCCCCAGCAGGCTCAGACAATGACTGATGTGTCGGCCTGGAACCATGCAGTGACCTCACGACACACATTTGTACTGACAGATTCTGGTATTGGGGCACAGGTTTTTTTGCACATTGTATTTAAAAGCGGAAGGAGAACTTTTTTCTAAATCTTTTATACAGAAATGCTTTTGGCAGTGCTGGAATGAAATGATAAAATGAAGTTGTTAATGTTTATAATAAAAGGAAATTAAGTTTATATGGGGGTTTTGTACATGTAAATATTTATTAATGAAACTCAAATGAACTTTAGTCTACTCTTACAGATATATTTTTGCAGGACTTTGATTCTTTCCATTCTTCCAGGCATTTCTAGAATGTCTTTATATCTTTCTAAGATACACCAATAAAACTGACTGCAGATTCAGCCTCAAAGATTAACTTTTAGCTATTTCTTTTACACTAAACTACAAAATAGCTTGAGCTACACTGTTTATGCAGCACCTGCTGCTTCATGTACTGCCTCCAAACCCAGTAAGGAGTTAGCAGGAAGCAAGGCGACAAGAAATCTTTTAGGAAGTTGAGGCAGAGTTAATATTGAGTGCCCTTTGGACTTGTGTTTCTAAGCAGACAAAAGAAAGAGATAGCTGTATTTGAATAAGTATTAACGTGGTCAGAGAGTCTGTTAGCACAAGAGTAATTGCTCATTTAAAACTTCACTCCATCTCTAAGTGTATTAGAATAAAGGTTCACTATTATTTTCACTCCTGTTAGAGTTGCTAATAGTGTTTACAAGGAAATTGGTTAACTGTCAGCACAAATGTAGTACACATTTAGACCTTTTAACAGCAAGATGCAGAGCAGCACGTTTGCACTCCCACCGCTTCTTTGAATTTTGTGCAAAACAGAATACCTAACAGGACACACAGCAGAGCAAAATGCAGAATCCCCCAGACTGGGGCTGAGAGGGGTTTGGTGGGTTTTGATGGGGGTTTGGGGGGGTGTTGAGGGTACACAGGGGTGGTGGTTGGTTGGTTTTGTTGTTCTGGATTTTTTTTTACAGTTGAGTGCACTCAGTTTTATCCAAGTTCCTGGGTCACACTCCCACTCACAGCACATGCAAATAAACAGCACTTCAGTATTTTTTACATTTAGGATTGACTTAAGGAAGGTACTACATCTATCTGCTACATCCAGGAGCATCACAGGCAGTGTTGGTTACACATAAAAACACCTGAGACATACCTGTGTTGGTATGTCATTCATGGAACACCTGAGAAGATAAGTGTTGTCTCACCTTTAACAGACCATTTGTAATACCCTGCCCTGACCTACAAGGAGACACGCAGGGAAGTGAAACAGCTGCTTCAGAGCTGATGAGAATATCCACATCTTGGTTTTCTGGTTTAAGCATCAGGTTCTTCTTTTGACAAGAAAGGTAAGGCAACTGCTCAGAGCCCCAGACAAGCTCACACAGCTCAGCTATTTCAGAAGGTGCATCTTGTCTCACCTTTTGCATTCTTATCCTTCCCCCAGGGCTCAGCTGACAGGAAGACAAACATGTACATAATTGCTGCCCAAATCCAGATAAAACACTTGTATTTTTCATGTTCTACTAAACTGGTATACAAACTGCTTTGACTTGCATTTTCCTACAGAATAATTGTTAAAGGTTAGACCCACAGTTAGGAATACTCTACCAAAGGCAGATGAACAAAGTAAAACTTTGATTTCAGCGTTTCTGATATTAAAGACAGTTCTGACCCTGCTGCAACAGCAGAGAGCGTTTCTGATATTAAGGACAGTTCTGACCCTGCTGCAACAGCAGCAGTCATAGGAGAGAGAATGGGAGTTAACAACTCAAACTAGAACAAATCTCATTTGTCACAGATTTGAGAGGTACTGTGAGACAACAGGAGACAAGATGAAAGAGGAAAAAGCAAGTCACAGCACACAAGACTAGCTCATTTTACATACACACAAAAAACCACTGAAGCACAAACTGATTTCCCACAGCACTAACCAGAAATTAGTACATTTATAGCAGAATCTTTAAGATGCATAAAAATGCCCATCAGCATTCAGGTCTGAGGTTTGATCAAACTTCCATGCAACGCTGCTGTAATTACCTTAGATTTTGTCTTCCTACATTAATAGTCTCAGATTTACTCTTGTCATTTTCAGAAGTTCAATCTTGTATATGATTTTACAGAAGTTTAAAAGTAACACGTTAGGTAATACATTCCACCTCCCATGTCTTAATTTGGGTCTGGAGTCAGATGGAGAACACCTCTGCCACTAACTTCTGTAGAGGTCCCAGGGTGGGGAAACCAAACATGCAGAGCAGCACTGAGACAAGGCCCTGGCACACAAAATTACATTCTGCCACTGTAAAATGCATGTGTTAGAATCGAGACTTGAAACATTAATAAAGGCTTCCAGAGACAGTTATGAGTGGTAGACCTTAAAGTTTCCTTAGTTTATTAAATGATTCCATGGCACAGGCTGTTTTCCATAGGCGTAGCTTTGGGTATGCAGTCGCTGAACAAAGGACTGGGTTATCCAGACAAACACACAGTGCTCCTGTCTGGCAGTGTGCACAAGCTGAGAGCTCCTGAAGTTCCACCTGAAGAAGTTGCTCCTGGCTACACTGATCACCATGTTTTGCTAATCATGCCTTTATTTAACAGTGATTTTGTTTCTGCTCCTAAAATAAGGCGGCAAATGGGGAGTAGAAAGCATCAGGCACCAGGGTGGCACAGCTCCCTTTGGAGTGTGCCCACTGTTACTATAAACTCCACTATAAGGAGAGCAATATCAAAGTGTTGGCAGGTAGAAATCTGAACATAAATACAGTCTTCAGATATGAACTAGCATAAAAGAAGTTCTAGTCCACATACCAGTCTAAGTTCATAAATCCTATACAGATAAATGCATATTAAAAAGAGAAAATCCATAAGTAAAATGAAGTTAATGCTGTTAATAAGTTAAAAAATAATGTCAAAAAACCTGATTTCTCCACATTCAAGAAACAGGTAGACTAACAAGATGTTAATCAGAAGAAAAAATCTGAAATGTTTCAGAGGTTTTATAAACCATATTTATATTTCACACACACTTTATATTTCTCTTTTAGAAGAGCATAAAAATGTAAACATTTCTTGGCTTTTTCCTCCTTTCTGTTTGAAATAGTCTACTCACAGTCCATGCAGAATCTTTCCATCAGATATCTTCAGTCACTGAAGACTTGGGTTTAAGACAAAACAAAATAACTGTAACAAAAAGAAATCTAGAAAACTATTGTAGCCTAACAGTACTTTCGCATTCACTTGATTTATTTAGCATAGCCACAGAACAAAATAATTTGTACATTCAGTCACATTAAAAACAAGGAATTACAAAGCAGTCCACATTTAATCTAAGTGCATTCCTTTGGAGTAACAGTTCCTTTTGTTTCACTTGTATGTCTTCATATGCCAAAGGCCATCATTTAAATAGTGGATGTTTTCAATACCAATCCCTTTGTTGACCTTCTCACTGCAGAAGGAGGAAAAAGGTACAGAAGTATTAGCTAGGTTAAATATTAGAGCAGTAAAAAATATAACATTTAAAGTAGAAAGCATAACATTTGTCAGCTGGAAGGGGAAAAGCTATCAACCACAAAGTCATTCTCTTCAACAGCAGGTGGACAAGAAACAATATTTGTTATTACATGTGCCCACACTGCTGAGGATAAGAGGACAATGTTTGCCTTCCACGTTTTGTCAACACTGTTCTACGGCATTTTCACAGTGGACACAGCTCTTCGGACAACACTTCTGTTACTCTTCTTAATTTTAACATTCCTCTATCAAAGTAGCACAGCAGCTGTGAGTCTCCCCCTCCCAGCACAAGAGGTGGTACAACAGGGCTAGAATATGGAGTTTGACAAGTTGTGGTTCCAAGTGTGCCACTGACACAACCAAACACAGGTGAGCAGCTTTGCTACTAGTTCCAGGTCACCTACCTACTTAATAAAGAATTATAAATGCTACATTTATGTGCCAAGGACCTGCAGCACGTTACAGACATCCTATCCTATAGGCTCTATATCATATGAGTCATGTCATCTTTTAAAAATTATTGGTTTGTAATTCTGCACTGAATTTCTATTCAGCTTTTTCCCAGTACATTATTCCACAACAAACCCTAGTTTTGTCACAATAAACAAGACAAATCTCATCATTCTAAGAGTAAGAACACGTTTCATTCCCCTGGAGAATATAATTTACTGTATTTACACCTAGTGTTCCATTACTTATACAACTTGTCCAAAAGTAATCAGGAAGCAAAGTGCTGCTAACGCAGTATCAACACATCATGTATTGTAATCACACCAAGAGACTGAAATCAGTTTCACAATTTTCTGGTCTAAACAATGTCACACAAAAAATTATTCTAACAGGCTGCAGAGAGCAGTATAATTCTGTTCCTCTCCAGTTCATGCTGCTTCTCACAGGAACAGGATATCCAGCTGCAAGGCTGCTGATCTGTAGTAAGGCTACAGATAACCTTGGTTTGCTATGATCACAGCACATCACTCAGACACAGGACTGGGACACAAGTAGCTTTGCTTTCCACCTACTCCTACAGTACTTTGAAACGCTAAAAAGAATCCTGAGGAATGTAATTTTTCAACAGCTACAGCAGGTCCAAATCCAGGTTGCTGCAGTCCCACTCCATCCCTGTCCTCTGTAACACACTCCCACCTCTCTCCCTTGCGCTGCCACTACGGCTTAGGACTGCAGAGTCACCCGGTACAGGAGATGATCCTGCTGAGAATTAACCCCACGAAAGAGTGACTTGTTTTCACCAGAATCAGCTTCCTCACTGCCACAAATGCTAGATGAGGCTGGGCCCAACACAGCCCAAACCTGCTGGGTGCACCTCACATCCTGCTGCAAGGCATTACAGAACTTCAAATGACAAAGGGATTTAGCTACTTATAATTTAGCGTTATCTGAAAGCCAAGAACTGGAATCTATTTCCATTTTCTCTTTTCCTTCTCAA